ATTAGATATATTGTCGCTCTCGGATAGCTCGTAAGGATAGATCAATTTGTTCTTCATTGAAATTAATTTTTCTCAGAATAAATACATTAGTCATTATTATTGGTTTTCAAAGTTGAATCTTCCGATTGTTTGTTTGGAATGTGAAACATGCAATTGAGTAATAAATAGGAATCAAAATTTAAAATAATTAAACAAATCAATTAAGTGAACCCTGAAGTCTTGTTCATCATAATATTGTTTTTAATCTTTTACAATTATTATCTTTTATTTAAATATTTTTATTCTTAATTTTAGAATTCATCTTTTAATTTAATTTTTCATTGTGACAACTCTTTTTGTTGATCTAATATAGCTTTCCTGTGGATTCGACACCTAAAGCTACGCTACAACAACCGCTTAACCAAAAGGTATTAATTTTGAGGCGAGACATCAATGTACTTGTGTAATTGTAAAGGAATCGTCCGCTGAAGGCTTGGATGGTGGTACTCTGTAGTCCCTTTATACCAATGTAAGATCTTTCTGGTATTCCATGTTGTTGACAACGCTCGAATCTCACTGATGAACATTAACATCCAAATCTGAACTTAGGAAATCTAATTTACTTATCTGTAATCTTACCACAAGATTTTAGGCTAAATTTAACTAGGATGTTTAGGCTAAATTTAGTTGTTGAGGGACATGACTTAGGACTTAATTGAAATGCATTGAAAGTTTGTTGGTTAGATTATAATTATTTTGGACCATGTGGGATTCCTACGGTGTCACGACATTAAGCAACTTACAATTATGGAGTTGACAGCTAGTGACTAACCAATGGTACAATTTAAAACTAAGTTTAACAACTAAACTTACAAATTGGAAAGAGGAGTGACTAAAAGGAAAGTTATAGTTAAGTTCAATTACTAGGGTGTACTTTACCCTAAGATCTATCGGTATTGAGGGTTGGATTGCCCAGAATGCAATGGCTCAAACTGGGGGCCCAAAAAATTCCAACAGCTCACAAACAAGCAATCAAAAACAACTCTAAGAATCATAAATTCAGCAGCATTGTAGCTCGTCCTCTGCACAACACAGAACACACTGCACAGAACAGGATGTCAAAAACACTCAGCACTTAAAAGACATCTTTTGCACAAAACTGGGGGTTGATACACCAATCACTAGAGGCACTGGAAGCTCTCAACCCTTAATCCACACGAATGATCTTGCTTGAATAATTTCCAAAATTCTCTCCTCTTCCCATTGCAAGTCCTTGGAGACATCCAACCAGACAAAGCAGCAGCCTAGAAAAAAAATGATTCTCCAATCTCTAACCTTACTATTACTAGACCCAAACTCTTAAGTCTCACCCTGCTGACCCATATCAACAATTGAACCAGAACGTACAAAATTGAAATTCCAGAATTAGCAACAACGCACCCAAACTCTATAAATCATCTCACATCTCATGAACAAGTACTTTGCATCCTCATATCCTAGAACACAACATGCACATAAAGAAATTTGAGCATTTCAGGGTAGTTATACTGAAAATTGGAAATGACTTTGTGCTAGCCCTATATGATTAAATAAATCAAGCATACACATTATTAATGTGTATGTAGCACCAAATCTAAAAGATATATGCCATCTATCATATGTTGAGGACTTGATTTAACCTTGAAGGTTACGAGATGGTACAGTAATAGTTTAGCCCTTCATTATATAAAACTACTGTAACCAAGTTAAGAAACATTATTTGAACAACGAAGCAACAAAAATAAATAAAATGAACTAAAACCTTTCAAACACAAAAGAGAAAAAAGAGAGAGAGAGAAAGCATTAAGCCCCACATCATGGAATAAATGTATTCTATGATAAATCAGTTATCATTATCGTACTTTGATAAGTTAAAACGAAACCTGTAGACCTCATATGGTATTTGAGCTCTGCTGCATTTCCAACGATCCCCATGGTTCACTTGAAAATAATGGCTCCATGTCTAGTGACAAAGCACCTCTAGAGGCGCTATCCCATTGATTGGTTACTTCATTTTTAACATAACCAGTCTCCTCATGATTTTGTTGACTGTTTGAATTGTTTTGCAAAAGACGAATTTGCTCCAACTCCACAGCAACTTCTATCATCTTTGGCCGCTGTTTACCACTCAAGCTCAAGCATCGATATGCAAGTTTTGCAACTTTTGTTATTTCTCCATGTGCAGAACTCTCCCTAAGTTGAGGATCAAGAATATTAAAGAGATTGTCCTCTTCCATGGAAAGAATGAAATGAGAAGCCAAACCTCTTGCTTCCTCTTCCTCTGCCCCTACTAATGAAATTGCTTTCTCTCCTGTTAAGAGCTCAACAAGAACAACTCCAAAGCTGTAAACATCACTCTTTTCTGTAAATTGATTTGACCAAAAATATTCAGGGTCTAAGTACCCAAATGTGCCCTTAACATTTGTGGTCAAATGAGTTTTATCTATGGCAATTAATCTTGAAGTCCCAAAGTCTGAAACTTTTGCCCTATACTTTTCATCCAGTAGAATATTTGACGATTTGACATCTCGATGATAAATGGGAATGGAGGCTTCTGAGTGCAAGTAGGAAAGCGCACTTGCAACTTCTGCAGCAATTTGTAACCGCCTTTCCCAAGTTAATGGGATGTCCTCATTTTGGTCCTGTATGTATTGGAAAAGTGTCCCATTGGGGATGAATTCATAAACTAGCATAGGAACTTCAATCTCCAAACAACACCCTAATAACTTCACAATGTTTCTATGATTAATCTGCATAAGAAGGACCACCTCATTGATGAACTCCTTAACATTCTTCTTATCCAGTACTTTGGACTTCTTAACTGCAACAATTCTTCCATCAACCAACATTCCTTTATAAACTGTGCCCTGGCCTCCCTGACCAAGTATTCTGTCCCTGTTGAAATTATCAGTTGCCTTCTCCAACTCCTTTATACTAAATACTTTGGTCCTTTCAATATTCTTCTTAGTTGAAGATAGTTGTTGCTGTAATAATAAACCTCCATTCTGTTTGAAGAATTGCTTCCGGAGCTTCATTTTCTTTCTCTTCTTTAAAATTTTGTACATCCACCATGTACCAGTAAGTAAACACACTACTCCAAACCCTACACTAATGCCTGTGAATGTCAAGGAAGCAGAAAGGATGACTGTGTCAATAAATACACTTGTATATCAAAACTTGATTATATAGACCTGCTTCTCAACGGCATGAATGGTTGGTTCAAATTGTTGCCATTGCAAAGGAAATTGAAATGAAATGAAATAAAATAAATAAAAATTGGGAGAATGATGATCTTACCCAATAAGATAGGCCAGGCTTTGTTTCCTTTACATACGTAGGTCCCGGGTTTATTTTCACAAATTAAGTGCCCACAGGGTTTGTGCTTAGGGTCCTTGCATTCATCAATATCTAATTAAGCACACAAAATAAAATCAACAAGACAATGCAAACAAAATAAAAAAGAAAATCATATTGTGGAAAAAAAAAAAAAACCCTCATATTGTAGGCTTTAAAACTTATTCTTGATTCTTCACTTTCAGATCTTTTTTTTTTCCCCCTTTTTTTTATTAAATTTCGAATCAGATTTTTAGATTGAAGTATTGAACTGCCTTTCTATATGTTATTCATTCGAGCTTCTCTGACCTAATTATTTAAAATTTGTTTCTGGCCTGTGACCTAGTGATTTAGAATTTAAATCTTGATTCTTTCACTCCTTACAGAGAGCAACTACAAATTTCACCTGTTCGTGTGGCTTGAGTTTCCTGAATACAAATTAAAATGTTTTAAAGTGGCCTCCTAAATATTGCTCTTTTGTTGCATTTATAAATTACTTTTGAAAGTTCGAGATGAAAGGGGAAACAGAAGCTACTTCCTTTAGAAAACTCACCCATAAGAGCGCTATGTTATAGGTTATAGGATTGGGTTTAATGTTTTTCAAACAAAACGCAACATGGTATAACATTAATAGGTCATTGTACCCAAAAAAGCCTGAATATTACATCAAAGAAATGAGGCACAGATGTAAACAGAGAAAACTTGACACAATAGAAGCTTACCTTGACATCCATATGGCAGATACGGGTTGCCTTCATATCCATCGTAACAACCACGTAATTTAACGAAGTCATTTAGGAACCCAAAATTGGGGGATGAGAACCCGCCTACACTCCATATTGGAGAATCGTAATTCAAATATAATCCGTTGGTTTCCTCCATAGTTATTCCCCAATCAAGCACTAATGGAACATATACCTTAAACTGCCAATTCGGATCTGTTATATTATTATCAGATGAATAATTCCATTCTACATCTGCCTGGAAGGCTAACTTGCATTCCTTTGAATCTTCTCTATCAAATGTTGCATTGAAAACTTGGAGAGGTGAAGGTATCATGCTCTCATAGCATCTCTCAGCAGTGCAATACCATTCTGGATCGGATGACTTGTTTTTGCAAGTTGATTCACACGCATCGATTAGTGGCTCAATTTGGCTCTTGACAGCACTGTTGTTGCAGCCTGCGGCTATGAATGTAGTCGTTGCCTCAGAGAACATGAAAGGACTTCCTGCCAACTTCACAACTTTGCCAGCTGTCCTCCCAGAATAGTTCACGGACATCATCGGACTTTTGACGTGAACTTGGCTGTCTGCAAGAGAGATCTCCAGCACCTCCACTTCTATGCTGGTTAGAAAAGTTGTAGGAGCGGTGGAAGTTTCATTGCAGGAGACCTCAAACCATTTGTTCATGTAGCAATTTTCTCCAATTCCAAAGGGGTATGGAATGCTGACACTGCCACAATGATCTTTACAACCATCCTTCACTAGAGCTCCAACTGCTGATTCAATCATTAGCAGTTGCAAGAGAGCAAAAATAGATCTGCGAATGATCATTTTTTTTTTTTCTGAGATGCTTATTGGAATTTAGATGTAGGAAACACCGTGTGTGTGAAACTTTATCGTGGAAATGAAGAAACGTAGGTTGTTTCTGTGCTTCTTCTGGTCCTAACTGCCCAAACGCTTGAGGTTGAAGGGAAGTAACCACTCTTATCTTATTGGCTTGATTAACTGTTCGATGATCATCCCGTCTCAATTGGCTGGCTTTGACTAAGACTATAACGCAATTCATTACTTGTTACTTGAAAAGTCCAATGCTATATCTAAAGACATAGGGTTAATGCCAACTATCGTCCCTATACTATTGAAAATAATTCAATTTAAACCTTATACTATCAATTCACCTCATGTCCTCCCTCTACTTTTATTTAAGTTCACATGTCCCCCCTCTACTATTCAAAAACATAATAATGTCGTCCCTCCGTCTATTTTGGGCCTAACAAACTGTCTATTGACTGTTAAATTGCAAACGGAGGGACGTTTGGGGACTTTTCAATTCCTTTTTTTTTTTTTCTTTCTAAAAGTGCAAAGTGGCCCCACCCATGCCACATCATCTATCTTTTTGCAATGTAGAAATCCTTCCCCGGTTTCCCCCTTGTCTCTGTTGTTTGGTAATAAGTTGTTATACTCTCTTTTTGGATGAATAATGATAAATGAAACTAAAATTTAAAATCAATGATATAATATAAATTATGTTATTTAAAATATTAAAATATAAATTTTATATTATTTAATAATTAATTTTATTATTTTTTTAAGATTTATAATATTATATATATCAATTAATTGAATAAGATAATATAAACCACATCATTAATCCTAAATTTTCATTTTAAATTTTCATCTTTCCTATTATTACTCTTTTTGGATCAATAAATTAACATTGAAAATTTTATAATTTTTTTGCAATCTGTTGTGAATCTGCGAACATGGCCAATTTTAGCAACAGAAATTCCAACAATGCTATGGTACTTTGTAGGATTTTATAATTTTAGAATATAGGTTGAATGTGTAATTAATATATTTTTTAATAATTAATTTACATAAAAATATAAAAATTGATATTTATTTTTTGTATCATTTTAATTATATAATTTTAATTAGACTATTGATAAATTAAAAGTCAATTTTTGATATTTTAGTACAAATTAATTGCTAAAAATAAGGGAAAAAAACATTTTTTTGTTATACTATAGACATTGCACAAGTTATTTCATTCTTTTTTAAGTTAACCTTTTTTTATTGTGATACGTGTGTTGATTGTCTTTTCAAGAACTAATTTTGCTCTCTCTCTTTTTTATATATATTTTTAATGTAATAATAAGCTACAGTATTAATTTTGTTACTATACTAAACACTTATTTGATTAAAAGATTACTTTATTAGAAAATTTTTTATTGAGAAATTAATTAAGAAAGTATTATATAGAAACCTAAAAAGTATTGTATAAAAAGTTTTTTAAATTTTGTAATGAAGTTTTATTAAAATTTTATTAAA